TTTGCTGAGCACGATCAGTGGTTACATATGGGGATGTGGCATAAGAGCAAGATCAAGGATGGTAATAAAGTATATTTTCATGATTTACTCCACACACACACACACACACACACACACACAAAAGAAAAGGAAAGAAAGAAAAGAAAACAAAAGATGGTAAACTAGAATTAGCACAAGAATGGGGAAGCCATGGGAACCAGCAGTTAGCGTAATGGCTATGTCGCTGGACTTCCACGTAGTCAACCATGGTTCGCGTCCCGGACCCAGTGGCTTAAAACTCATGCCGGGCGCATGTGCATGCGTGCCCAAGATCCCAAGAGGAAAATGGAGGAGAAGGGACTGTGGCGTGGCCATCTCCCCTGGGGGCGGGGGGGGTTTCTCGTTTTCTGTCTCTCTCTTTCTGGCAAGTGCATGCACCTATAGCAAAAACCTCTCCAAAAATTTTTTTCCATGGAATTCATGCCCTCTACAGAGACAGAGATAAGAGAGATGAGAGAAAGTAAGAAATAAATCCCCAGGAAGGATGGCCATTTTTTAAAAGAATTGATTTTATTAATTTTTTTTTTTAATTTCACAAGAGAGAGAGACAGAAGAAAAGTGAGAAAGCAAGCTATCAAATCTGGGATTCAAACTGCAGTCAGTCATGTGGTCGGGCAGCATCTTAACCACCGTACCACCTGCCCACCAGAGAAATGGCCATTTTGCAATTCCTTCTCCTCCATTCTTTTTTGGATGTTTTTGGCGCTGGCTCAAGCCCCCGCGAACACACCCACCCACCCTGTGTGTTTCTCAAGCCACAGGTTTGGGACATGCATCATGCAACTTGCTACATGGCATCCAGTCCTCTTAACCACCCCGCCATCTGCTGGCTCCTTTACACATTTTTTTTTAATTAAGAATTATTTGGGGACCAATAGTTAGCGAAATGGCTATGTTGCTGGACTCCCATGTAGTCGACCATGGTTCGAGTCCTGGACCCGGTGGCTTAAACTCACACCAGGTGCGTGTGCGTGCATGCCCAAGATCCCGAGAGGAGAATGGAGGAGAAGGGATTGTGGCGTGGCCATCCCCCCTGGGAGGTGATTTCCCGTTTTCTGTCTCTCTGTCTCTCTCTGTCTGTCTGGCGAGCGCACGTGCCCTATAGCAAAAAACCTCTCAAAAAAAAAAAAAAAAAAAGAAAAGAATTATTTAAGGAAACCAGAAGGTGGCATGGCGGTTAAGGGCGCTGGACTCCCATATGGCCGACCGCAATTCAAGTCCCGGACCTGGTGGCTTACTTTCTCATTCACTTTCTCACTCTCTCACTTTGTCCTCTGGTAAAATTAAAATAAATAAATAAGTTAAATAAAATAATTCTTTAAAAAGGTATAGTTTAATTTTTAAAAAGAATTATTTAATTTTACTTATTTATTCACTTATTTTAATTTGACCAGACAAAGAGGGAAAGTGAGAAAACAAGCCACCAGGTCTGGGACTTGAACCTTGTTCGACCATGGAGGAGTGTCCAGAGCCCTAACCACTATGCCACCGGCTGGGGCACCGCCTTCTCGTTTGCTTTTTCATTTTTTTTTTTTTTTGGTCATTATTTATTTAATTTTATTTATTCATTCATTTATGTTGTAGTTTGACCAGAGAGAGAGAGGAGAGAGAAGGAAAGTGAGAAAGCAAGCTACCCCGTCCAAGACTTAAACCGTGGTAGGCCATGTGGGAGTGTCCAACACCTAAACCACCACACCACCTGCTGGTCCCACTTAGATTTTTTATTTTTTAAAAGAGATTTTGTTCTCTTAGGGTGAGTGTGTTCATCAGAGAGAGGGGGGTGGGGAGAGTAACAGAGATAGTGAAAAGCAAAGTGAGAAATGAGAAATCCCCCCCTCCCCCAGGGAGGATGGCCATGCTTCAATCACTTCTCCATTCTCCTCTTGGGATCTTGGGCATGAACGCACAGGAGCCCAGCGTGTTAAGCCACTGGGTCTGGAACTCAAACCACACTAGAACAAGGGCGAGTCCAGCGATGTAACCTCTCTGCCATCTACTGGCAGCTCCACTTAGGTTTTCAAATGATCGCATAGGCAGCTGTTTTATGGTATAGAATGCACAGTTTGAAGACACACCACCATGCATTCGCCAACTTCACCATGACATCATTGCCAAAGCTCTTAACCCATCTCCTTTGGCTTCCCTGTCAGATAAATAGGTCATAATTAAGCTCTGTAGCATAGCGGGTGGGAACCAAAGTTTGTCATGATTTCCCATTCAAATATTGCTTCCCACTTAGAAGTTATGAGCGCTTGTTAATTTATTCTCGTGTGCCTTAATTATCTCAGCTATGAAATGGGGGTAATAAAACTTCTTCCACGACAGTTACTGCGAAAAATAAACGACAGTGCCTGTAAAGCACAGCGACGGCGCCTGGCACAATGGAATAAGCGTTCATACAGATTGGCTTAGCGCTTCTTTCAAAGGATTGACGTGACGATCATATGAAATATGCATGTGAAAGGACTTGCGAAACTGTACACTATCTCAAGGACAAAGTTCTCTCTCTCTTCTTTCAAGCGGTACAGAGAAAACTGGGCTGTTCCAGGAGAGGCGCGAGGCCAAGCGCAGCCTCAATGCGGTCATTGTGGTCCGGTGGCCCTTCCCCCGCCCGGAGAACATCTCCATGGCAACGCGGGCTTTGCCTCTCCCCGCCTCCTGGAGCCCCGGACCGGAAGCAGTCCGCGCCGGGGGCTTCTGGGAAGCGGCTAGTGAGCGGCGTTTCTGCGTCTGCCGTGGACAGCGAAGCTGGTGGGGGTTCTCGCC